AAGACATACATGACCTTTCTGTTCATTGAGTTTCAAAAGCTCAAAATTCCTATTGATGGCTGAGAATTGGTCGTTTTGCGCAATGGCACAAAAAGTGGTCTTACTGTTCATTGGTATTTTACGGTTGTAGTTGCATTATATACTCTTTTTGCGTGTTGATCAATCATGTTTAATAATTATAGTACTTGCTTACAACTATTTGCCTGGTGCAATGGTCACGCAATACCTGTATAAGTTAATCATTACTACTGGTACTAACTTGCTGAGTTTTCAATTTGTTCAAGTGAGGTGGTTTCGTCAGCGTCTCCGATTTTTCAAAGTCCATGCCACCTGGCGTCGGGGACAGGATTGGCGTGGAATGGATGTATTTGTGCGGAACGAACACGTACTCGCTCAGCCCTGGATACCGCATAGCATGGACGATGCGCTTCCACTCCAAAGACGATGAAATCGCAAGCTTGTCAAAGACAGCTAAAGAATTCTTTGTTATCTGCGCCGACTTGCACAACCAGTTACCGTGCTCACGACAGTAGACTTCGAAGACAAATCCTAAAGTGTCTTCATTATCATTCAGGTTATGTGCACATCAACCAGCGAATCACTTCGCTGTAATCCAGGCATCACAGTCAATACAATCACAGGTACCGAGAGGGAGTATATCATGTCGAATTTATACTTAAAAGAGTGCAAATATCCATACTATTAATAGTACTGGTAAGGCTGAAAACAGTGGTAAATTTGTTCGAAATTCGGATAAATCCGGATGAATGAAATACTTCGAAGTATGAGACATGCATCTTTGTGAAATTGGAGCGACAGGGAAATGTTGATAACGTTATTATGTACCGCCGCACCAGATCCCCCTGGCGCAGCACCGCTTTGGTCAGCGAGGACGGCGCCAACTTGTCCATCTTGAAGTGCTAGTCGAGCATTTCAAAGAACGAAAACCAACGTACCGCCACTGTTATGCTGGTTGTACCGCCACCTTTATGCTGATGGAGGAGATAGCAGCGTCTCTGCTGTGGTTGCCCATGGTGCGGCGCGTTGATTTCTGTCCATAATACATCACGTACTAACAGTATGCATGTTTCATCATTGTTTCGTAAATCACCATATATCTACGATACAAGCAATCGCATTCAAATTTCAAGATAGCAGGAATTAGATAACGATACAAGTGATGTACGAAACAAAAACGTTTCGAGATTGCTATAGTATTAATAGCCTGGTGTATTTTGTTTCGTGTTTGTTTCGTAAATCGTGTATAATTTCTGATAACGTTACTACTACTATTAATAGTAGACAATAGAATAATAATATAAAGACAAATAATTTTACTTCATCCTTTTCACCCATTTGTAAGATACTAGTGTTAAAGCATGAATAACTGTAAAATTGTTCGAAATCCAGGTTGATAAATTAGGGCGGTCGGCACTAATTCACAATTATGGGCTTGGCGACCGACCACACCAATTTTGAATATTCAGAATTAGTAAGGATTATTATCTTGAATCTTGTATGTGGGATTTGTCATGAAAAGTCGCATCACAAATAGGCATTGATGTAAACAGTCAATAGTGCAGGCACAACGTGTTCAAGGGTTATTACGCTACACTTGATGGCTTTCTATAACTAGCATCGTTGCAT